GGTCTTGAGGCCCAAACTGTGTCGTTGGCCCCCGGTTTACATCAACAACGGTTCCCGCCTGATACTTCCTCACAATTTATTGAAGAATGGCGCTCTTGCTTGGGACTTCCTGGCAATTTGCCACCGAATCGCGGCTCCCGCTTGATATTTCTTGACAATTTATTGCAGAATCGAGTTCTCGCTTGGGACTTCTTCGCAACTTACAACCGAATTAAGATGCCTGTCCTCGACACTCAGGAATCGTGCTCCCGCTACATCTTGCCTGACGGCTTAAGCAGGACTCACGCTTCAACGACCCGCCCGCTCGTCCCGCCCGTCGGGGCCTGCCCGCCCGACCAGCCCGTTAATGACTGCAGTCGCCTTCGCACGCTGCCCTTCGCCCGCCTTCGATGCCCCTTGCCGCCCGTACTGGTTCCGCGGTCGCCTTCGCTCGCTGCCCTGCGTGGCCCCATTGCTGCCCTCAGTGGCTCCGTCGCTGCCCTTTGTGGCCCCGCATTATATGTCCTTCGTGGTTCCCGCTTGCACGCGCCCGTCGTGGCCCCATATGCATGCCCTTCGTAGCCCCGCTGTCGCCCTTCGTGGCCCCCTCGCTGCCCTTCGTGGCCCCTTTGCTGCCCTCAGTGGCCCCGCTGTCGCCCTTGGTGGCCCCGTATGCGAATGCCCTTCGTGGCCCCCGCTCGCTCGCGCCCGTCGTGGCCCCATATGCATGCCCTTCGTGGCCCCGCTGTCGCCCTTTGTGGACTCCTCGCTGCCCTTCGTGGCCCCGGTGCTGCCCTCAGCGGCCCCGTCGCTGCCCTCTGTGGCCTCGGGTTTTATACCCTTCGTGGCCCACGCTGGCTTTTCTCACGATTTACTTGGGAATCGCGCTATCGCTCGAGACTTCCTCGCGATTCATGCAGGACCCACGCTTCAGCAACCCGCCTGCTCGACCTCGTCGCCTGGGCCCGCCTTCCCGACCTGCCCGCTATGGGTCTGCCCACCAGATCTGCCCGTCTGGTTCTACCACTTGTTTTCTGCTCTTTGCCCCCCTCCTGCTAATTTTTCTCGTGCTCCATTATTCTCCCTCCCCGTTCCACCCGTCCTCTCTTCCCTTGTTTTAGGGGCTGCGCTGAACACACGTGGCAGGTAAGGAAAATCACCCCCCAAGGGTGTACGATCGAAGACGACGAGGGCGGGTACCGAGGGCTTGGGATATACGTATTGATTAGCACGTGAGCAGATAGGAGCGAACAGTCTTAAAACTGTTGATGTTGTTGTGGTTCTTGTTGTTGTTGTTGTTGTTGTTGTTGTTGTTGTTCTTGTTCTTGTTCTTGTTATTGTTCTTGTTATTGTTCTTCTTCTTCTTCTTCTTCTTATTATTCTTGTTGTTGTTGTTGTTGTTGTTGTTGTTGTTCTTGTTATTGTTCTTGTTGTTGTTGTTGTTGTTGAACATTATTAATTCTAAAGAATAATTATTGTTGGGCCCCTGGTGCACGGCCCCCCTGCGCCGCCTAGGCCGCAGCTACATTTTCATCATTTTCGTGAGGAAGCCTCAGGTAATTCGATGTGATCAAGATCCGGTTGTTTTGTTCCCCCCGCTTTCCCTTGCAAAAAACACTATAAAATGACATTTCTTGTTCTAATATAATCAAATTTCAAGAATCCCTTGCAAAAAATAAGGTAAAGTGGACATTCGCGCGCGCAAGACGAAATCCTTCCAAAAGCTTAGTGTTCGGAGCGATTTTAACATAAAAACATCAAAAAACCAATGGTTTTTCAACAAAAAAATGTCAAAATCTCATCCCGCGCGCTCTTGCGGATTCGTAGGAAACCCAACACTTTTTAAACATTTCTGTCAAACGGGCTTTTGCGAGCAACTTTTTCGAACTTCTGCGACAACGGTTGCGCACCTGCCAGGGCCATCATCCCTGTCAAATAATACCATGCGGGACACATTCGTTTTTTCTTCGCGCGCGCACGCCGAAATCTCCAAAAACCATTGGGTTCTGTGGGTGTGTACCCCACGCCAGTGTAGTAGCCACGGTCGTCCGCACGCCACGAAGTGAAGTGTCCCAACGTCATAGGGCGGGAAGCTGGGTTTGGGTGGTCGCGAAGAGTCGTTTGGATATTTGGTAGAGCTTGTAATGCCCCCCCACGAAGTGGGGGTATTGCCTGGTGTCGTATGAAAACCCTGGCACTGGGGAGAACACCACGCGTTCGGGTAAAATGATTGTTGTTGTTGTTGTTGTTGTTGTTTGTCGTCGTCGTCCCACCCGCGACCCACTCGCGACTCACCCCGCGACCCACCCGCGACCCACCCCGCGACCCACCCGCGACCCACCCGCGACCCACCCGCGACCCACCCCGCGACCCACCCGCGACCCATCCGCGGCCCATCCGCGACCCACCCGCGACCCACCCCGTGACCCACCCGCGACCCACCCCGCGACCCACCCTCAAGGGAGGAAAAAACACCCAGACCCAGCAATTGACGTTTACTAAACGGCCTTAGACGTTGACTAAACAGCCCTGCCCTGTTCGATTCATTCCTTGTGTGCGTTTACTAAAAGGTTTCGCTTGTCGGGGTGATCATTAATCGCTTCGCTCATTCCGCCGGCCCTGAAGCCCTCTTTAGGGCCTCTTGGGGACATCTTGGGAGTCTCTTGGGGCTCCTTGGTGGCGTCTTGGGGGCCCCCAGGGCCTCTTGGGGACCTCTTTGGGGCCTCTTGGGGCGGGAGGGGGGGTAGTCGATTGCGGCTCCCCCCTCGGAGGCCGCGATCCTCGTGAGGGGTGTCGAAGAATTGCCCAGTCCAGCATCTCTGACCCGGATCTGCCGGGACCTTGCCGGGACCTTGCCGGGACCTGGCGTGGTCTTTTTCGCTCGGAGACCCCAGGGGCCGCCCCGCGCGCGTGAAGTAGAATATTGTTAACCAGTTACCGGAGATCTTAGCACGCCTCTGGCCCGTTGGGCCAGCGAATTATGGGGTGGATTTTCTGCCCTCTACACCCGCGACCCACCCGCGACCCATTTGCGACACACCCGCGACCTACCCTCATTGGTTTAACGAAAAATCGGCGCCTGCGGCGGGCTCGTTGCATATTTTGTGAAACTTTGGCGCCTGCGGCGGGCTTCTCCAGAGTCTCGCAAACTGCCGACGTCCCCGCCGCCACCTCACTCTTATCCGCATCTGCGGGGTGCTACGTATAAAAACTCGGAGGTCCGCGCGGATTTCTCGGAGCAGCGCTGGACCCCCCGTCCCCGGCGCGCGGAGCGCGCCAGGGGCGGCGCCAGAGGCGCCGCCGGGGGGCTCCAGCGCCTATCCGAGGCATCCGCGCGGCGCTCCGAGTTTTTTGTTTCTGTCACTGCTTGCTCCCCTAGGTATGCGCTAAGACCCCCTGGGGCCGTGGGTGGTGTGTTGTCGTTGGTTTTCTGGCCCCCTCCTCCGGGCGTGCCAAAGCAGGAGCGGCTGAGGCGGCGCGAGGCCGGGCCGGCCACAACCGGGGGGGGGGCTTCCCCGATCCCAGCTCGGGGCTCAAGGGAGAAGGGCCAGTGCAAACGGGTGTCAGCCTCCTCCTCCTCCTCCTTCTTCTCTTTCTCCTACTCCTCTTTCTCCTCCTCCTCCTCCTCCTCCTCCTCCTCCTCCTCCTCCTCCTCTTCCTCCTCCTCCTCCTCCTCGTCTGGGGCTCAAGAGACGGGGGTCAGTGCAAACAGGGGTCAGTCAGAGCGCCAGATCATGCAGGATCCTGCAGAGCCAGGGGTGCACTGACCCGCGTTTGGGTGCAGGGCCCTGCAGGTTGCTGCAAGATCTTGCAGGATCCTGCAACGCCCTACTGACCCTGGTTGGGATTGACCCGGGTCAGTAGATCCCCGACCAGCGCGTGCCAGGCTTTCTTCGGCTTCGGCCCCTGGGAGGCCGGGGCGAGGAGCTCCCCTTGCCCTCGGGGCTCAAGCGAAGGGGGGCAACGAGAACGGGGTCAACCAGAGCGCCAGTTCTTGCAGGATCCTGCAGAGCCAGGGGTTGATTGACCAGGGTTGGGGTGCAGGATCCTGCAGGATCTTGCAGGACCTTGTCGGATCCTGCAACGCCCGACTGACCTGGGTTGGGATTGACCCGGGTCAGTAGAAACCGGACGCGCCCGGGAGGGGGTTGGGAGTTCTTGGGGGCCGCAGAGTGACATAAAAACACATCGTCGGATGTCTGAGGAGTTGCCCTGATCTCCTCGCGTCGTGGACAGAATCACGACAGAAGGGTTGCCGACGTTTCCGTGAGTTCCGGGAGGCTGTCCAGCCTCTGGATGCTTTCCAGCAGCTGCGCATCGGCGAGAGCGTTCCGGGGGTGCCCGGATCGTCCCGAACGGCCGCTGTAGGCTCGAGTTATGGCCCGAAAGCCCGAAACCTGATCTCCTCGCGTCTTGAAAAAAAGCCACGGTGATCGGTTGATGGGCCGTTTTCGGCTTCCGGCAGAGGTCAGACGCCCTCCCCGGAGCAGGGGTCCAGACCTTTGGGGAGGTAAGTTGCGAGAAGTACGCGACGTGGGATGTCTGGACCCATTAGGCATTAGGGGCATCCATCGGCTTCGACCCCCTCCCGGCTCCCATCTTTCTGGCTCCTGCTCCACCTCTCCGACTCGGGTTGGTTTGCGCCGTTGCCTCGAAGAAGAACAAATGCTATAAATATAAACTTTTGGCGCTCGGCGCGGGTTTCTTGGATCCGCGCTGGGGGCCCCTCGGCGGCGCCTCCGGCGCCGCCCCTGCTGGCGCGCTCCGCGCGCCGGGGAGGGGGAGTCCAGCGCGGAGCCGAGAAGTCCGCGCGGAGCGCCAGCAGCTCATGCTTCTGGCATTTCTTTTGTTTTTTTCAAACTTCCTCTCTGGGCCCTGGCCCGCCCGCGCTGCCCAGGCCCGTCAGGCCCCGACGGTGCGCGCTCGCGCGCACGCTCGAAGGATCTCCCCGAGAATCACGGTGGGCTCCCCGGCTTCAAGGGGCACACGCCCCCCCCGGTTGTGTCTCGCCGACCGGCGAGGGCCATGGCGACAGCGAGAGCTCGAGGGCCGCCGCGCCCCGCAGCGATGCCGGCTGGCTGGAGCGGATCGAGGCCAGGAAGCGCGACGCGCAGCAGAGCGAGGAGGTGGAGGACTCGTCGGGGGCCCTCGAAAGGTGCGGTGCCGCACCGCGTGGTCACTCAGTGGGGACTCGGGGTCACCGCACGGTTTTGGGACTCGTTCTCCGAGGACGTCTCGGGCGACTGGGGCCTCCAGGGTCCCAACACCGTGTGGTGACGGACCGCGCGGTGAGGTCGTTGGGGATTCCGAGGTCACCACGCGAGCCGTCACCACAAGGGCGATGCAGAAAATCGGCGTCGTCTGCGCCGACATTGGCGCGTAAGCTTCCCGCGTACGGTCGAGCGTAAGCGCTCTCGTTCCCAATGCAGCGTTCCGCGCCAGTGGCCCGCGTAAGCCACCGCGCAAGGTCGCTGTGTCATCTCGCGTAAGACCCCTTTCTGATCGTCGCTCAAATTGTTTTGGGGCCCCGAGAGGACGAGCACAAGCAGCTGGTGGCCGAGCGCTGCGACCGGCGGAACGACGCGCTGCGGCGAGTCATCGACCGGCAGGCGCAGCGCAGGCACGATGTGGACCAACTGGAGGACTGAGGGGCCCCCCTCGGGCCTCTGGGGGGGGGGGGGCGCGACAGACCGCGCCCCTCTCCATGGAGGGAAGAAAAACGGGGACCAGGACCAAGATGTCGCGGGATCCTGTCCATGTCGATCTTGGTCATGGTCCATGTCGGCCGTCGCGTTCGCGAGGATGCTGCACGAATTGACGCTGACCAAGATCGCCGCTGACCAACATCGACACGACGTTTCCGCGTGCATTCATGGTCATGGTCCCTTTTTCCTTCCCCTTCACTCCACTCCACGTCCTCTTCCTCCTCAGATCCTCAACGCTCCGGCGCGTAGAAGTCGACTAGACGTAAGAGTGACCTCTCGCCGGAGTGATCTTTGGTGCCGGCCCACTGGGGTCTCCCGATCGCTGACCGCGATGCGGTAGTAGCGTCTTGCGCGCTTGTGTTTGGATTCCCGAAACAGTGCGGTAACAGACCGTGCGGTGTCTCACCGCACGGTCCGTCACCGCACGGTCTTGGGACCCCGAAGGCCCCTGTCGCCCGATACATCCTCGGAGAACGACTCGAGTCCCAAAACCGTGCGGTGACCCCGAATCCCTACCGACTCACCGCACGGTGTGGTCACCACCCCGTTTGGGGGCCCCCCATTGTGTTTGGCCCCCCGCGGCCTTCAAAAAGCCGCGCACCAAGGGTCACTCTTACCCATGGTCACCTTGCGTGTAGTCGAAGAAGGGAAACTGCATGAAGATGAATTTTCGGAGGTCCTCGCGGTTTTTTTTTGCGTCGGCGCTGTACGCTGCACCCCCATGGCGGCTCCGCGCGCCAGGGAGGGGGTCCAGCGCCGATCCATGAAGTCCACTGGGACCTCCAAAAGTTCATGATCATGAAGTTGTCTCTTCTTCCACCGGCGAGTTGTGGGTCACCGCTCCAGCAGCTTAGCTTCTCCTGGTCCTGCCGCCAGCGCTGCTGCTTTTTAGTGCGCCTTCTGCTGACAATCGCCTGTAGCCAGACGCCGGTACTTCGACCAGGCCCGAAATGCACTGTGTTCGGCTCAGTCACCTGCTTGCTCTTTTGCTCCTGCTCCTCAGCTCTCCTTGAGGCTATGTGCTCGCCGCGTGATGCTCGACGCTTTTCCACAGTGCGATGTGGCCAGACGCGCGAGTACTGTTTTGCACTACCAAGTCTGTATGGTGGGCAAGTTGATGGCGGTCGCAGGTACCCAAGTAGGCCGCGGATGGGCCTCTTCTCCTCCTTCCCCTGCCCCTGGGTTGGCTTTTCGCTGCACGGCCTGGCGAGCGATTGAAGTTTCCAAGTGCTGAAGCACAACTTGACATGTTGAAAGGCCAGGCCATTTGTGTCTAGAAGGAGTCGGATCGAACAAATGCGAAAAAGGAGGTTTGAGGCGGTTTAGTCCAGAAGGAGGCGAATTCTAAACTTGAAACATGGAGCTAAAAACTATTCCACTCTTTCAGCCGTGGAATGCTTCAATCCGTTAGGATTAGAGCGAGCGTCCAGGGGCCCTCCACTACCAGCCGTCACCGCCCGCCCATGACGACTACAGACCACCTCCCCCCCACTGATTACCACAATGCCCCCTCATCCACTAACCACCACGAAACATCCCCTCACTCACCATTGCACTCCACCGCCCACCCATATTTACCGCAAAGCCCTTCCTCCACCGCCGCGCCCACCATGACCAATCACCACACTGTCCATTACCATCCCCGCAGCAACCGCCCACCAATGCCATCGCCCTTCTTCCCCCACTGCCAAGCACCACCCACACACAAACACACACACACACGCCACCCAACACCACAATCACTCCAACCAAGACCGCTAAAACACACATTCACACCACTCAACACCTTCATCACCGCGACTACCACCATCACCACCACCCTCTGCAACCAAACGCCCACCACTCACTATCGCCATCGGCCACCCACCCGCCGCCACTTTCCACCACCACACCCCAATCACTACCGCCTTCACCCCCACCCACTACCACTCAAGTTTTTGAGGCCACGCCCCCCAGTTTACTTCGGCGCATGACTGTCGCGTTCACTTCGCTTCGCTCTGCTACTACCACCACCCCCCACCACAACCGCCACCACAACCGCCACAACCCCCACCATCCCCACCACCACCACCACCACCACCACCACCACCACCACCACCACCACCACCACCACCACCACCACCACCACCCCGACCACGGCCCTCCAGCCCCACCACCGAGCGAGCCTCACTACCACCGACTCGGATGCTTTTCCTGGGAGGTTGGCTGCAGCATCGGCGCTGGTTTATTCGTGGTCGACAACGGCATGATCAGGCATGATTCCGTTTAGTTAATCCCTTTGAATACCGTTTCATTTGGCTCAGTCCCAGCCTCAGCCTGAGCCAATCCAGCCCAGTGGCCCTGCAACCACGCCGAATAGCCCCTAATCGTTCCCACGAAGACCCCTCAGGCTTTGTAACCTATCACCCTCGACCAGCCGCCACCCACTCACCAACACGAGCCAACACTAAGTCGGGCACGTCCCTATACTGGAGGAACAGTCAAAAGTAGTACAAAAATAGTCCGTGTGCGATTTTTCGTATTTTTTTTTGGGGGGGGGGGACAAGTGTCCATCTTTCGTCCAAAATCCGCCTGCAGGAGGACACGCCCGACCTAAAACTAGCACCCCACCAGCCTCACCACCGACACTCCCGCCCTCCCCACCACTATGCTTTTTCCAGGCGGAGCGCGCGCCTCGAGTCAGCACGCTGCAGGCAGTCCAATCCAGCCCGGACAGTGCGCCAGCGCTTGTCGGATGGCCTCTTCGGCCAGTCGAGCCACCGTGCTGGGGCCGTGGACAGGCAGAAGCACCTTTAAAGCCCCTCTCATGGCGGGGAGACGTAAGGCTCGAGTGAGCAGGGTCTCGGGTTTGCCGGCGTTTTTTGACGAGCGCGCCCTGGATTTTGACGGCCCGGTTTTCGTGGGATGTCTGCCGCGGGAGCTCGCGCCCACTTTTCCGATGGAGCCTCGCCACTTTCATGACGGCCCCGTCAGGTCAACCCGAGTCCCCCGTACCTGAGTCCGCCGCCGCCGTCGCCCCCCGGCACTCCGCAGCTGGGGCGCCCAGTGCCGTCACCGCCGACGCACCCCTCAGCCTCGCCCGCCCTCGTCCCGAAGAGGAGCAAGGCGACGACGATGGCGACGACGCCGCTCGCTCGTCAAGTCGCGCGCTTGCGACAGCATCAGCGCGGGAGAGACCCCCCGCTCCGACGTCGCCGTTACCTTCCCCGGCACATGCGCCAGCGACGCGGACGCGACCATTTGGGGCCTCTTCTCACCGAGCGCGTTCCACTTCTCGCAGAGTACCTACTCGCAAACGTCGGACAAGCACATGTGCTCCTCGTTTCAATGTATAGCAAATCCCCTGCGGCGGATCCAGGCCGTTTGCGAGTAGCTACTTTGCGAGCAGTGCAGCGCGTTCGTCTATCTTCGGAGGCCCCTCTGGGGGGGGGGCGGCCGTGCCGTGCTGTGGCTCGGCCTGCCGCCTCGGGGCCACCCGCCGCGGCGTGCTGGCCTCCGCCGCGGGGCCTGGGCGCCTCGCGGGGAGGCCGGCCTCCGCGGCCTTTCCTCGACGCCGGCGCGCCCCGTCACCTCGACGCCCCCCCTCCTCGTCCCTCCTCGCCCTTCCTCCTCCTCCTCCCTCCTGCCCGTTCCCCCTGCAGTCTCCCCCATCTCCTTCCTCACCCTTTTATCCTCCTCTTCGAGGGAAGGGGGAGGGACGGGGGTGCAGCAGGAGGAGGAGGAGATTCGAGGGCCAGTGTTTTTTCGGTACGTGTTTTCTGGTTGTTCCAGGGTGGCGCCGGGGCCTTCTCTTCAGCCTCGATGCCTCGGCCGATGCGGCCCCGTCTCCAGCCCCCCGCGCGCTGTGAAGAGATCACGACGGGAGGTTTGTCGCTATTTTCGGCTCCAGGTGCCCTTCCCGGGCCTCGGGGCTGTTCAGAAAACGACTCAGGATGGAAAAGCCGGTCCCCGGGAAAGGGGTCCGGGCTTCTGGGGGTCGACGTCATGAAACAAGCACGACGACGGGGGTCTGGGTCTGCAGTTTTCCTCCGCCAGGCGCCCAGCCTCTTCACCTCCAGGGGGCGCGAAGACGAAATCGCGCTTCGAGCACATTGCGACTTGGGTTTTGAAGGGGCGCCCTTCTCTCTGGGGGTCGGCGGCGCCGAGGGTGCGAGCAGTAGCCGCGCGTGCGCGGGGCGAGGGGTGCGAAGTCAGGTGGTGACCTGAAAAAACTTCCGACGCCGTGCTCTACTCGATGCTGCTGGGCTCCAGGGCTCTCGAGACCCCAGCGCTCGAGAGCGGGCTCCGCGTCGCGGGCCGTCCTCGTCGGGCGGGCATGCGTGGAGGTGGATCGCTCCAGAGCGTTCCGGGCTTTAGGAACGGCCGCGGCGCCCGATGGCGCTGCTCTCCCGCCAGCGTCTGGGAGAGCCCGAGCTGCGCATCCCTGCCCGGTTTGTCACGATGGTGAGCACAAGCGCCGCGAACAGCTAACACATTTTCTCAAGGTTTGTGGAGACACGGCGACGATCTTATATGTGTATATATATGTATATATATATATACATATCTCTCTCTCTCTCTCTTTCTCTGCGATGGCTGTCCCTGTTTCTCGAGTCTTCTCTCTCTGTGCTTCCCATCTGTGGCGTTTCTGCCCCATGCTGCCTGATTCCTGCTGACGCTGCATTGCCAATCAGTGTCTTCCCAAGTCTCACTCTGACTCCTCGGCGCCGCGGCGCCCCCGCTCCGTTCCTCGCCTGACCGCGCCCCGGCGCGCATGCGAGCGTGAGGTCCAGCTTCCCGAGAGCGACGCAGAAACGGGTTGGACTGCGCCGACACAGGCGCGTAAGCTGCCCGCGTAAGGTCGCGCGTGAGCACTCTCGTTGCCAGTGCAGCGTGCCGCGTTGGCGGCCCGCGCAAGCCACCGCGTAAGGTCGCTATGCCACCTCCTCCTCCTTCTCCCCCTCCTCCTCCTCCTCCACCTCCTCCTCCTCCTCCTTCTCCCCCTCCTCCTCCTCCTCCTTCCTCCTCCTCTCTCCTCCTCCTCCTCCTCCTCCTCCTCCTCCTCCTCTCCTCCTCCTCCTCCTCCTCCTCCTCCTCCTCCTCCTCCTCCTCCTCCTCCTCCTCCTCCTCCTCCTCCTCCTCCTCCTCCTCCTCCTCCTCCTCCTCCTCCTCCTCCTCCTCCTCCTCCTCCTCCCCCTCCGCGCCGCGAACGCCAGCCGGGCGCCCTGCGCCCGGCCCCGTGGGCGGCGTCCGCGCGGGGGGCCTGGGGGCTCTCGGGCCATGGTGCTCGGAGCCGCCCGCAGGCCGCCGCGCGCCGCACCCGGGGCGGCTGCCGCGGCGCCCTGGCGGAGGAGGCGGGGCGGGGCGGGGCTCTCAGAGGGGGTCGGAGGCTCCTCCTCCTCCCCCCTTCTCCTCTCCTCCTCCTCCCCCCTTCTCCTCCTCCTCCTCCTCCTCCTGCTCCTCCTGCTCCTCCTGCCCCATCTCCACAATCACACAATAACTCTCCTCTCTCCACTGATGACGTCCAGAAGAGGTTCGTCCCCCCCCCCCCCGCGTATGGTTTTTTCATACATGATTCCCGGGAGTTGGGTTTTCGTTGTTTTTTGTGTGTCTTTGCTCCCGCTGAAGCGTTGGCCTTATTTTCGGGCTTCGCTCGTTCCGAATCGTGCTCCCGCTGCAGTGTTGGCGTCATTGTTTCCAGTGCCATGCCACGGCATGCAATGCAATGCTATGTGGTGTTCGGCTGTGCGATGCCATGCCTTCAGCTGCAATGCTAGGATATGCAGTGCTAGACTACGCAGTGCCACGCCATGATATGCCATGCTACGCTTTGATCTTCAACGCCATGCTATGCCATGTTCTGTTCTGTGCCGTTGTGCGATGCCATTCTCTGCGTTGGAATGCCTTGTGATACACAATTCTTCACGACGCAACACCACGACATGCTATGACAAACTACGCTCTGCCGTGCTCTTCTACGCCCTGCTCTGCCGTGCTCTACGATGCATCGCGCACCCTCGCGGGATCATTGCCCTGCTCGGCATCCGACTGGAGGTCTAGAGGTTGACATCAATGCCAATATCGGCGATGTGCCTCCATCGAGGAAAGATGATCCCGATCTTGGTGATGGTGGTAATCTTCGGGCTTCCAAGGTGGCCGAAATATTATCACCAACGCCAAAATCTAGGATCTCATTCCCCTGGTGAAGGCAACCCTTGGTGTTGGTGTTAGTGCCCATTTCTAAGCCTCCAAGACTGTGCGAATAGAGAGGAGGTCTATGTCATGGTAAGGGATGGGAGGGAGGAGTAGGACGTCAGATACGCCGCGAGTGCACCTATCTTTTCCTCCCCCTCCTCTTCCTCCTCCTCCTAGGCCTCCCAGATAGGGTCGAAGGATCGCGGCGCATCGCCGATGCATCGGCGATGTTCGGCGCCCGAAATTCTTCACGCCGACGTCGCGGATGCATCGCCGACGTCGCCAGATGCACCGCCGATGCATCGGCGATGCATCGCCGAGGTATCGGCGACGCGGCGAGATCCTCCGACCCCAACTACTAGGACCCCAGCTAGGAGGCCTCTAGTGATCCAGGCGTTGCAATCTCCCTCGAGCCGGGCGCTTTCGCCTAGTTTCGGGCCCCAGGGCCCTCACAGATCGATGCGGCTCAACGTGGCGCAGAAAGATGGGGTCCAGGGTTCCGGTCTTGATCTTGTACGATGTTTCAGTCAGTTCGGCTCCCAGGGTCTGACGCACGGTGACACAGTTAGCGAGGCCTTGCGCGGAGGCTTGCGCGGTGGCTTACGAGGGCGCCCACGTGCGACCTGGCGCGGGCAGCCTACG